TAAATTTGCCAAGAAGATAAGTGCTTATGTGCAACTGAGTTGTATAAAACATTTTTTTATTTGTGTAATTATTATATCTGAAAGTAAATCGTACTTGAATATATTACCTCTGTTGTTAATTGTAACCTCTAATATTAAAGTGTACCAAATGAGAGGGTTCCCTGTATAGTTTGCAGCATTATTTGGAACAGTTTTTTATTCCTTAAGAAAAATCTAACTATCGGCAGATATCATTTTGAATAATCGGCTATCGGTATCAGAGGAGAAATTTAGTATCGGTGCATCTCTAAAGTGTACTACAAGCCCTGTCTATATAAATTGAGAGTATTAGAATATCACAAATAAATCGATGGACAAGATTATGACGCACATAATTCTTAATAAATCGTTGCCTATTTCACCCTGTCCCCAAATTGTAGCCTAGAATTTAAGTGTCGGTAGACTAGATATCTAAAATGGACGGGCCACAAATCTGTGAGTACAGTTTGAAAAAATGTGGGCACGGGTTATGAATTTCTGGGTACGGATTGAAAAACGGATTGAAGGTCCGGTTTACAAATCTGAGCGCACAGATTAGAAATCTGTGGGTACAGATTATTAATTTGTGGGAGCGATTTGTTAAACCGAGGGAACAATTTAAGAATTTGTGAGTATGGTTTATAAACTGAGGGGACAAATTGCAAAACTGTGGCGCCGGATTTGCAGGTCTTGTTTTTTTTTTCTCCTACAGGTGACTTCCCGGGCTCCGTAACAATCTTCCCCTAGGACTTCATTTTATCTATTTTGATACATTTTCTTCTCATCCTTTCCTTCTTTTTCATTGAGGGTTTAATTTTTGTTTATCTAGTTTAGTAGTGGATGCTTTTGCTGTTTGGAAGACATATCCTAGAAGGGCGGTGCACCTCTGGCAGAAAGGATAATTCATTATTCCCTGTGTGTGTATCCGTTCCTGAGGGATGAGTGTGTTCAGGAATGACAGCTCTTTGTAACCTGGTTTCTTCCCCTAGGTGTTTATTCATGTCTGCCACTCTTCATAGCGGTCTTTCCTTCTCCTATTTGGTTTTCGTTGAAAAAGGCACATTTTTGAGTGCTTGTGCTGAACGAGACAGGTGGTGCTCTGATCTTTCCATGTAGTCATCACTAGAATCTTAATGCAAAGAGAGCAACAGCCACACAAACATAGCCTGGGGTTGAGGTGTGCACTCTGAGCAACAGATTTGCTCAAACCCCCGCTATGACACTGCACAGCCAAAAGCGAAACCTTCGTGCTTCCAGTAAGCAATCAGGAGACTAAAGGGAGGTGTGATTAGCATGAAGAAAGAGTGACCTATTCATTTGAGCTGAATGTAGCTAAACAGGGTGGGAAAAATGCATACTAGAGTACTTTAAAGGACAGAGTGTGTTTTTAATGCTTAGTGGGTTCAGAACAAACTGAACTTCTAGTCTCGGAGAGACAAAAACGGTGGAGAGAGAGAAGTTACTGAATCATCTATTTTAAGAAAACACTATCTGCTCCAAAAGCAGGTTACTGCCTACCAGAATGTCTAGTATCGAGTCCTTCCAGGGGACATATTCAGTATAATCTGAGAGTACAAATTGAGAACTAAAATTGCCCACTTTTTCGGGGATATGATATTTTAGTGGTGCTTGCCAAGGCGGGGTGATTATTATTATTATTATTATTATTATTATTATTATTATTTTTTTTTTTTTTTAAATGTAAAATTTTATCTTAAAGCTGCCGTCGGCAACATTTTTTTGATCATATTAAGTGGTTTTAGAAAAAAACCCGAGCTTCTAACTCCACCTGGAGCTTGTTATTTGTTTTGCAAAAATCCACAGCTCCCGGTTCATCATGTCCAATCAGCGCAGGGGGGTGTGAGATCTGACTGTCAATCACAGATCGGGCACACGCCACCCCTCGCGCACGTTAGAAAAATCACATGCACACGCCTGAAGTTCGCGGAAGTTCGCGAAGTAACGAAGAGTGATGGCGGAAAATCAAGTAAGCTCATTTAGAGTATAAATGACGTTAGCAGTTGCAATCTATCGGTAGATTAGCCAGGACAGCATACCTCCAAATACTCCATGGTGTTGATGGATGCTGATGAGACGGGCGCAGGGCTCTCAAGTTTTGAAGACAGGTAAGAGTGGGCCACCCAGCCGACGGGGGGGTTGGATACATTTTTGTCATTGGTTGTTGCGTTAAATCTTACCCAGATACAATAGTGCTATTTTCTGATTGGCTATTGTGTAGCTCGACGAACAACACCAGAGAAAACGCGCTTGATTCGTGCCGGTTCCACAGTGAGAGCGGCGCGGCCAGAGTTTTGGGCGCTGCGGCATATTAAATATATTACAAATAGTTTTTCAGCGTGAGAAATACAATGTGTGGCGGGAGACCGTGACAAAAGACCGAAATGAGTGACACTTGAGAGCCCTGGCGTTCACTGAAAATCTGGTGCACACGCACTGACGAGCATGAACTCGGTGGGAGGCGTATCCGTTGATAGTGGGGGAGGGGCATGAGAGTCGTAAACATTCAAAATTTTCCTAAATCCACTCAATCTGCCAGACTTGCCGACTTCAGCTTTAATAATTTTTAGTCATGGTTTTTGTTTTGATGGAATTATTAATTGAATTTAGTTAACATTTTGTCGTCTCATATTCATTCATTTTTGGACTAAAATTATATCTAATTTTAATCCACAAAAATTACATTTTAGTTAACTGAACTGCAAAATTAAACGCATATTCCAACACATATAATTTAGGGATGTTCATTTCATATTATTTCCTGACAGACAACTAGGGGTGGGCGATATACCGGTAGACACGATTAACCGGTAGAAATTTGTCAACCGGTAGAGATCTATTGTCTCTATTACGGTTACGCTCACATGACGTTGCTGTGCTACGCAGTCACGAACGCTTATCATCTGCATACGTGTTTAAGTATTGGGGTTACAAACAAGCGATTTTAAACCGTTTAAGCGCAGTATGCAGCGATAACTCATTTCACTATATGCACATGCTTTCTGAGAGAAACGCACACATAAAGCCGAGAACTGAACTGAGGGCTTTTTTGCCAAACTAATTGGGGTTAAATACACATACTTATGTGTCAAAGTGACCATGCCTTTGCAAGTCAACACAGTCCTTTATGTCTTAAGTGAATGTAAACAGAAAACGCACAAGTGACAGCATCCAAATTTACCTGCTGTTGTTATTAATGTTAACCAAACAACAAAAAAGAGAAAGTCTCTTACTGCTCTTGACTGAATCACTTTTGTAACTTTAATAAGACTATTTAATTTACACAATGAAGACAATGCAGTGTTTTTTAATTCATTTGATTACTTTATACAATTGATGTAGTATTTCTTATTTCTAGTGCTTGAAGTTTTTCAGGTAGGCCTATATCATTTGTGTCTTTTTTCTATTGTAGTTTGTTTTCCTATATGCTTGTAATTAGTTTATTTGTTCTTTCTTTATCACCGTTTACTTGTGTTCAGTTAGCTTGAGTTTTTTTTTTACTTAGGCTAGTAGGCCTATTAGTTTTTTTGTGATATTGAAAATGGTGATGAATTAAAAAAATTCAAATTTCAATTTCAAAAATGTTGATATCATTAAAATCTTATTTAAAGCAAAAATAACTATATCCTGATATATATATATATATATATATATGTGTGTGTGTGTGTGTGTGTGTGTGTATATATATATATATATATATATATATATATATACACATATACACACACACACACACACACACACACATATATATATGTATATCGTTTTCTTGAAATAAAATTACTTGTATAGTGATATATTAGATTTTGGTCATATCACCCATCCCTACCGACAACTTACGCTCATTAACTGTTAACCGGCAAGATTGTGTTAAATTAGAATTAAATTAAATAAGAATGGATACTTATTGACTTAAAGCTCTCATTCAGGGCTTGTTTTAAAAGTGGCATCATGATCTGGCTTGTGTTCTAAGAATGGTTATCTCCATTGTACTGGCTTTAATGTGACAAATAGGCCTCCATTGTCCCACTTTACACGAGAAACAGAGCTGCTAGTGGTGTGTTCACAATAGGGGTTGTGATTCTAGCTGAATAACAGCTTGTAATATCTCTGGTTTCCAGCCCCCATCATTCCTGAATCATTACTAGGAACGCAACGCACTATTCGCCTTAAGTGTGTTGCGAACACAGCTACCAGTATTTGTGGAGTTTATTTCCACTGCTGTCTCCATAGAAATGCGAACCCATGCACATAATTGAATTATATCTGCATGAATTAAACATGATACATGATTCATTGACATTTGGTGGGTAGAAATTAACAATGACAAAGTTGTTATTGTTTTGTCCCTGTTTGTGTGGTTGTATTGGTTTCACTCTGCTCAAGTCAATTATATTAGACAAATTCTCATTACAAGGAACGTTTATGCATGAATTCTCTGAAACAAATAAGGAGCAGAAGCCAGCACTGTGTCATACTAGCATCAGTGTTACTAATGGTAATGATTGTGCAATGAGAGAAGGATCCAGTCTGCTTTAGAGACCCTAAGAACAGAAGGAATGGTAGGTTCGTAGGCTGGCAAGTGAACAGCGATCATACCAGCGGCAATCCGTCAAAGACTCGTTGGCTTATCTGAACCAAGCCTGGGTCTTGGGATCCAAATCACAGTGTGCGATAACTGTTTGCTTAATCACTGGTACATGAAGAAGGAAATGAGCTGACTGTCAATAGGCTCCAGGAAATTAAATATGCTCCATACGCTACAGAAATGAGATGGTGTCGCAGTTCTCCATGCCTGTGAAGTGACAGTGTTTTAATGCTGTTAAATATGGAAATATTTCCATTGGTTTGCAGTTTGCATAAATAAGTTTCCATTTGTGTTTATTCCTTTTTTTACAGTCAGGTTGAAATCTTAATCTTAATAAAACAATCTGACGTTCTTTATTTGTCTCCCTCTTTTCCAGTTTCTGTGTCTGAAGAACATCCGGACATTCCTGAAAGTGTGCCATGATAAGTTCGGCCTGAGGAACAGCGAGCTGTTTGATCCCTTCGATCTGTTTGACGTGAGGGACTTTGGGAAGGTGAGAAGCAGTGGTTTTGCTGAGCATGCAGGCTGTCTGGAACTATTAATCATTTTACACCATCATGTCTCCGCAGCTGAATGACATTAATGTGTGCACTTTTATGAGAGATTAACCCAAAAGTGGGGCTATTGAGCATCAGCTTTGTTCCACGTCTTACAACTCTCTCACACACAATCCATTAATGCCGAGGATAATATAAAAGTGTGTGCAATGCTTAATCGGCCCTGTGTGTATTTCTTCCCCCTAGTCTTATCTCCTCCACTGTGCATTTGAATATTCACATGCACATTTGATCACACACCTCGGGGTCACAAGCGTGCCTGTGTGTGCCAATGCATATCTGTGGTGCTACCCATATGGTTTGTGTGTGTGTTTATGCATGTTTCCAAGGATTTTAACAGTACTTGTTTGATGTGACTGATGATTTTATTGATTTAGTGGTAAGTTGTGTTGGAAGGATCTGGTAACTATTCACAGTACCATCTAGCCCAGCTATGCGGCCTGTTGGGAATCCCTGGACCTCAGGTTAAAAAAAAACCTTTGAAGTAGGCATATGTGAATCAATGAAAATTGCAGGCAGGCATCCCCCATTATGGTTTTTGCTGTATTCCTGCTCGATTTCATAGTGTCCCAGCTATTTCCACATCCTGAAAAGGCATCTTACGGATTTCTTACTGTCGATAGCTCTGTCAGAGCTTTCTCTAGTGCATAAGTGCCCTTATGCTGACTTTGCTCTGACGGTCATCCAAGTATTGGAGAAAATGTGATGTCCTTAAGAACAACTGAACCCTGATCCTTATATTACTATGGCAGTTTAGTCAATTCACTAACCTCCATGATAGAAGCTCATTGTTAATTCTGTTTCTTCATGCCAAGTCAGCTTGATGTCTACCGTTTATATTGGATATGGGTTCTTCTTCATTATTAGTATGGTTTTAATAGTGAAATATTAGTATAGAATATAAAGTGCTGTGAAAGTGCTAATTACTAAAAGTCAAGAGAAAATACAAACCTCTTAATATTGATCATTTGAGTTGCATGAATTGTTTGGACTTTACAGGTGCAAAGCACTTGTTCGACCATTGAAACATTTGGTTCTGTTTAACTACCGCTCAGCAAGCGTGTCTGGACATTTCCAGTGTGTGCAGTCAGAAAAGAAAGGAGCGGCAAGACGGAGAGAGCGTTTTGAAGTCTCAAAGGGAGGGGCCTAGACAGCGAGATTAAGCCTTTGCCAGACTGTGAGCTTTAATGGATAATGTGGAAGACGGTGAGTGAGAGTCAATGAGTGCACGGAAAACAATATTAAAACCCTCGAGCAGTCGGAATCAATCACATACACCCTCCACATGTCAATGTGTGAATTGCGTTTGCTTCGACTCGAAGGTGACGGGCTTGTCCCATCATTGATTCTCCATTAAGGGCAAGCAGCACATTATAATATATTGAAGTAGGCAGCTTGATGTCATTGCGCCATACATGCAAATCGTCCACCTCCTTTTAAATGAAGAGAAACGAAAGCTTCTCGAGCTTCAGAGCTGAAGGATAGAAAGCATTTTTAATCTTTCAATAGCACATACATTGTTGAACTTTCACCTCGGACAGTAATATATCTCCCTGGCCTGTCAAGCTCAGGTTGTCTTTAATTGGAGTGGAGAGTCTCAGTCCTTTGTGTCCTTGCAATTGGTGGGATGGTTGACGCCTTTTTAGGAATGGCGATTTGTTGTCGACCGATATAGGTTTTTTTTTTTTTTTATTGCTGATATCTTAAATTAGAAATAAATAATTTGAAAATGAATTAAAAAATAAACAGACTTAGTTCACATATCGCGTCTAAAAACGCGTGAAAGGCGCGGCTGCGCCACTTGCGCTCCCGTGGCGTCTGTCGTTGCTATGCAACCATGAACTGCGCTCTCCACAACGGTGAGGAAGTTTCAGTAATGGATTTCCACCACCGAAAAACGCTTTCTGTAGCACTACTACAAGATTTATTTACAGAGAAGAGAAAAAAAACCGTAGTGTTTGGGTGCACCCCATCCTTCATGTTGACTGAGCTTTCAATGTTGTTATAAAGAAGGTGAAGCTGATTGGTTGGTTCTTGTCACATGACCTGCTCTATTATAAGTGTGCAAAAGACGCAATATGTGAACTGCCCCTTATACTTTAGATGGCAACTTCTTAATTTTGGAATGCAATAACAGTATGTTCACAAATAAAGAAATTGTAAATAAATTATAATAAAAGGAAGGTAAACACTGTAACCAACAGGGCATCAAACATTTTTTTCAAATAAAGACAAGGAAGCACTAATTTTCGGCACAGACCGACCATGATGCACAGAATACACGCGTGTTTTTGCAAGCTACAAATGCACACTTCAGAAGATCTCACAGCTGGATTCGACAAAGTCTGCAAGGTTTGTGAAATGAAATGTTTATTAGATATTCAAATATTTGTTTAAATGATACAAATGCGTCTTTGCTGAATGATGACGGTAAATTAGAAGTATTACGGTGAGAGAGTATTATTATGTTTGCCTTTTTATTACTGATAATATAAAAGCTAACACTATAATATTTTGTTGGTATACCATTTACTTTCTTTGTTTAACAGTTCTATCTAATAACATATCAGAGAAGACTGTTAAACCGAGGACGTAGATGGAGAATGGGAGCGCTGTGTGCACAGCCGTTCTCAGCACCATCAAAATAAAAGTCCTGCTTCCGACACATTGGTCAAATAAAAAAATGTATCGGGTATTGCCGATAATTAAAAAATGCCAAACTTCAGCTGATATAGGTCAACCACTAATGACGATATGTGTTGTTGTCTGTTTTTAGTGTTGTCATTCTAATGCTTGATCCCTCCTAATCCTAACAGTGCATTGAATTACTCGTTTCCTGATTTGTTTAAGAAGGGAGCACAAATCTGTCTGTTTAGTGTGAATATTTCGTATCTGCATGATCTCTATTCATCAGCACGTCGTTATATTTACCTGGGTGGAGCAGTGCCTCTCTTCCCTTTCTCCATCTCACTGCTTTTAGGCCTTTTAAACAGATGGTTCACCCCCACATCTCTTACTAAACTCGCCACAGCGCTCCTGTTAGCACTCTGATGTTTCATGCCCTCCTTTATCCCATCAGCCCATGGGACGCATCCGTACGACAATCACAGATGGACCCAGATTCTCCTTAACGTTCCATATTCATCATTACTCATAAACGCAAAGCTCTCTGGGCTTTGCTTTTAATATGGCATTCAAACTGAACTGCTTCTATCTTTCCCTTCCTAATTGGATCTGAATATGCAGTTGTTATCATTTAAATGAACACCACAATCATTTTGGTTCACATCTTTGTGACAATTAGCGTGATGACACTCCACCTGTTCACAGCCTATTTATAGCTTTGTGATTCTGTAGTGTGTGAATCAGACAGGTTGAAGATGATTTTGATTATTTGGCGCTAGATCTCACTCAATTGACCCGCCGCAGGCCAGTTCTGACATGGCTGTTCTACAAAATCTTATTGACCTGCTCTCTTTTGTTTAGTGTTGTAATAATTATACCTCGTCTTTATTCAAAGATCTCTCGGTGGGCTCATGTGGGCGTGCTTTAAATTAACAGTCAGTTCATCTGGGGGCAGGATCAGTAAAATAGCTTCTTGATTGACACCACTGGGGCCCTTTGGAGACCTCTGGGAGGTAAATATTTTTTCCATAAGATTAAATAAGAACAAAGGGTGAGACTTTTTTTTTTTTTGCACAGATTCAGTGAGTTTTTTTTCCAGTTAAATATTTCAAGTAATTTTTTGTGGTCTGTAAAGGAAAATCAGATTTTTGTTAACATTTCTAGAATTTATCATATCATATATAAATACAGAATAACATCATATTAATTTAAAGAATATTGTATTTTTGTAATTTTTGTGCAATATAAAAAAAGCTCAGAGCTATTTATTTGACCTGCAAAAAAAATGACAATTATTTATTATATAAAATATCAGCATTTAAGGCTAAAAATGTAAAGTTACACTTTCCCTTTTTGTGCAGAAAATTTATTTTGAGTTATTTGATTACTACCCCTCACTTTTTCTGTCTATTCGTACTGCAGGTTTCCTCTTTTGTTTCTCAGTATTGTGCTTAAACAATCTACCTAACAAATACTTTTCTTTTGAATGCACAAACAATTCAGAGACCTATTGTACTTGCTATTGTAATTTCTCTGCTTAAGTATCCTTGAGCTCCTCTCCTCTCCTCTCCTCTCCTCTCCTCTCCTCTCCTCTCCTCTCCTCTCCTCTCCTCTCCTCTCCTCTCCTCTCCTCTCCTCTCCTCTCCTCTCCTCTCCTCTCCTCTCCTCTCCTCTCCCCTCCCCTCCCCTCCCCTCCTATCCTCTCCTCTCCTCTCTAAATCTTGTCTCAAAAATAGCTGGTTGCCAGGCACTCTGTACTGCAGCAGAGCACTGCTCAAATACCTGTAACGCCCTGTTTTGAAAAGTTGCTAAGGAACAATGGTGACATTAAAGAATAGACTCTCTGTAAAGGTTATTGCGGTGGTTTGAATTGCAGTTTTAATGCCATGGAGCCAAGCTGAGGCTGCACTGACACATTTGAGAGTTGGCTGAGGTTTTGTTAGGCTGGCCTGCTTTTATTTTTCATCAGTGGTGAGGTCAGTGGCCCCTTGACATAAAGAAGTTTGATACATATTGAAAAAAAGAAACATCTGCTAAAGTGCATGTCTTCTGATGTTAAATGTTTAGAAAAGTATAGGGAGGTTATTTTTGTTGCTAGCTAAGAACATGATTCCTTTGCATCCATTTGATATGTTTAAACAGTGAAAATTTTCTCTTTAGATAAACTGCTTCAGCTTAGTTTGGGATTAACCTAAGTACTTTCAGTAGCAAATTGCTTTTTCGGAAATCAATCTGGTTCTGAAAGTTTCTCTTCCATCTCCAAAGGCATCCTGTTGTGAATTAAATGATATTGAGACAATAAAATGTATAG